TGGTCTAAAATCTCTTCCCTTTTAAAGGTGATTTTAGTTTTGGAAAAAGCCAGAAGTCTCAAGGTGCCAAATCTGAGCTGTAGGGGGTGCTGAGTCACCTGGGCGATTTGATGTTTCACCAAAAAACTCTGCAGGAGACATGATGCATGAGCAGGCACGTTGTCGTGATGAAGCTGACAATCACCTGTTTCCTGTAGCTGTGACCTTCTTAATCATCTGAATAGTTTCCATGGAGGATGTTCAAGCTTAATGCAACATTTGATACAGATTTGTTGCCCTACTTGCTCAGTCATTTTGAATGTGATGGCCACACAGTGCACATGCTCACTCAACAGAGTCTACCACCCCCACTGCCTAGTATAGTGAAGTCATCATTGTTCACACATGTACATTACAGTCCACTCTCCTTGGCTGCCAGGTTATATCAATGTTGCACAAACTGTTTTCATATGTTAACAATGGCTGGAATTTTTCTGGACAGACCTTGTAAAAATGTGCAAAATAATCCAAAATAAAAATGTGCAAAGGATATTAAGGAGCAAGTCTTTGGAAAAATACAAATAGCTAACATATACGAAAAAATACTCAGCCTCACCAGTAATCAGAGAAATGCAAGTTAAATCAGTTAGATACTATTTTTCACATATCAGATTAGCAATTTTTTAAAAATTCCATCCTCAGGAAGGACATAAGGAAAGGCAATCTCAATGGTGACAGTATAAAGCTTCTTAGATGTCACTTCAACAGTGAGTACTCTCATTTTTAAAATACATATCCTTTGACATAACAATTCTTCTAATAGGAAGCTATCCCACATAAATATTTGTATGTGTGCATCTTATGTCTGTGTTATCATTGAACAATGCTCAAAGATATTTATTTCAGCCTTGTGGTGGCTCAGACTAGGGTGATAGGCACATGAGATGGATACATGTGGCAGAACATTTGACACACTTAGAAACTCAGGTCAACAGGACTTGCTTTTGAATTGGATATTAGTGGTTGAGAGAAACACAGGACTCAAGGGTGACTCTAGTTCTTCAGCAACTGCATCTATGCTGGTGCTATTTTGCTGAGAAAGTAGAAGCTAAGGGAAGGGGCTCAGGATGTGAGAGGAATCAGGAATTCTGTTTGGCCACGTTACCTTTGAAATGTCTATTTAACATCCAAGTAGAGATATTGAATAGGCCATTGTATATATGAGGCTGTAGCTTAGAAGGCTTAGGTAAGAGACATAAATTTTCAAGTGATGAGTGTATTGATACATGGTATTTAAAGACATGAGGCTGGATAAGTGCTTCTAGGAAGATGTGGGATTGCAGAAAGACCATGGACTGAGCACTGTGTCACTCCAATGTTCAGAGGTTGGGGAGAAAAATTTAGTAGAATAGGGGACTAAGCAGAAGTTGTCTGTACAAACTTGAGTTTCAAAGAACTCAGTACATATCAAATGGTGAAGAATCACATATTTACCATCATATCAAGAGCCCAATTCCTTCCAAGCCAGTTTTTTTAAGGGATTCTAGCTCTTTTTTCTTTCTGAATATTTCAAACCACATTTAAACAGAATGGTACTTTTTTTCTTTTATGTTACATGTGGTTTACTCACAGTATAACTCTCCTGATATAAAACTAGGCAAATACAGGTAGCACTCAGCAATGGCTGTTCCATAAAGTCCGTAATCTGGTAACTACCTCATGCCTAAAAGGCTAAGGGTGAGTTGAGTCCAGCAGCTTAATTTGTGGCATGTTTTCTTCTTTTGAGCTGTTAACTTCCCTATTGCACAGTACCTTTCTCCAGCTTCCTAGTGAGCTCACCAAATGCCTAAGACATCTCAAGATATCTGACAATCCACACTGCTTCCTCTCAGTGCAACCTCCCTTCATACCCACCAGAAACATAGTGTCTTTATATTTCTACTTTAAACTTCAAAAGTTTCCATTCAGAGCATCATGCCTTAAAAAGAAAGAGGAAGTACTTCCAACTAGGTCAAAGTTGTCATCAGGAATGCAAGGTCAAAGCAAAACACAGCAGGAGGAAAACAATGATAACTGGGCCCATGGCAGCCTTACAGCTAGGCCAATAGGCAGAGGTCACTTAGTTCAGTTCCAGGAGACCACAAAAGAGTGCCAGTTCCTAGAACAATAATGTCATTCATTAATTCATTTAGCAAATATTAGTAAGCACCTATATCTCAGGCCCTGTGATGGATGCTGGGGTTCATTGGTCAATAAAACATACAGAAAACCCTACTCACATGGAACTTACATTATGGAGAGGGGAGAGAGACAGACAATAAGAAAAAAAATGGGTAAAATATACACCACGTTACATTAGAATAATAAGGTAGGGAAGGGGCACACAGAATGTTCAGGGAAGGGTTGCAAGTTTAAACAGGATGGTTACAGAAGGCCTCAATGAGGTGACATTGAAGTAGAAACTCCTAGCTGTCAGATTTCAAGTGCCTCAGAAGTGTGTCTTTTGTACTTTAATCCTACCATCACTGAACCCCAGGCTCTTGAAGACATGGTACCCCCAGTTTCTAGCACAAATATTTGTTAAATCCTTGTGCTTAAAACAAAGAGAGCAAAGATTCAGACCTCAACATTAAAGATGTTACATTCTTCCAGGTGAAAAAACAACTAAGAGAGTTGTTAAACACTTTCCTGAGGTGTAAACAAAATGCTTTAGGATACAGAATAACTGGTAATTCTGCTAAGGGGAAGGAATTTTATATTCAGAAAGGCTGTCCCAAAGGAGGTGACTTTAGAGCTAAATCTTGAGAGATGAATAGGAATTAATGGCAGGGGAGTGGTATGGGTGGCAAGTTATCTTTTCGGGAAAAAGAGGTGTGGCGGGGAGAGAGAGAGGAGTTTGGGCAAAGGCTCAGCGATGAGATCGGGGAGGACATTTTCTCCTGGACTATCCATGCCTAAGGCACTCCAACCATTCTACCACAAAACAAGCAAACATTCCCCCTGAGGCTCTCCAGCCTGACTGCTGGGAAATCCTTTTCATGTACTACATCCTCATTTCTTCCCTAGCCAGCAGGAAAGGAAGAAGTTGGGTCAGGCATACATCCCTAGAATCCAGAGTTATCCATTCCTAACTTCAGGACAATTACTATTGAGCTAAGAAGCCTTGGAGGTTTCATTGAGCTGGGTACACCCAGGGGTGTGTACTTATAGTAGCAGTGTGGTGATTGGATCCCTATTGGAAGCGAGATGGTGAAATGGGCAAAATACCAGTTAGGTGAGTGGTCCAAAGTCTCCACAGGACATGCAGGGTGTAGTCAAGGACCAAAACTTATAAATGCCTTAGCTTAGAAGAGACATTTTTAATCACTTAGTTCTCACTTGTGAACTATTTAGTTTTACTAACATCTAATACAGCAGAGGTGGTGTGACAAGGGATAGGAACACAGCTATGCAGTCAGATGACCCAGCTCTGCCCCTCATGTGTTGGGTGATTTGGGGAAAGGCATTTAACCTTTGCGTCTCCTTTTCATCACAACACAGTTATAATTGTAGTGTGTACTGCATAGAGTTATCATGAGGATTATATGAGACAATTATGTCAAGAACTCATCACAGCACCTGGCTCAGTGTATTCTAACAACCATTATTAATAGCAGCCTTTAAGGTGAAAAACTCAGAGAGGTTCATCCAGAATACTACACACACTCACAGACCAATTATCCTTAAACAGGCCTCCAAACTCCATTTCACTGTTGGGACCTATACAGTGTGTCTCCTAAATCTGTGTTATCAGAAATGTTTATCCCCCCCGCCACGCAAGGAAAAGTCTCACAAGCCAAGTTGGTGGTCTTTTCCTTCTAGGATTTCCAGCAGGTACTGAAGCATAAGCTAGCAAACAAACAACAACAACAATAACAACTAACTGTGACAAAAACAAAAAGTTCCTCAGGGCCTCAACTCTTTGCATCAGACATTGTTCTCTCCACAAACCAAAGGGTAAACACATTAGGTCATTAATACCTTAGTATTAATAGATTTATGAGGGGTGGAGATGGGAACCTGAAAGCAAAAAAGGAAACAAGCCAGCTAAAATAGGAGGTCCAGAAGTACTGAAGACTAATTTCTGCCACAAATGTTCAAGGTATACGGCCAACCCTGCCAAAAGCTGTACTCTGGGAAGCTAGGTCCTCTGGTTCTGAAGAAGCAGGGTACTGGGGGAAGAAAAGGTTAGTTAATGAGAAACAGATCACTTGTTCACGTCACCAGAATTCTAATTAAATGATTTCACTACAACAACCAACCATTTTGTTCTCTCTTAAGGGCTGGAGGCATTCATCTAGCCCTTTATAAACCATCACAACCTGAGACTGAAGGGTTCTTTGCTCTTTCTGAGGGCTCTGGAGACTCCCCTCCAGCAGCAAATCCCTGAAGCCTGCTTGAAGGGTGGCAACAAAAAGCAGTTCAGCTCTGGAGCACACAGCCCCGTCCCCAGCTCCAAGTGCTGCGGGAGCCCACTAAGGCAGGAGTGGGGCCGTCCAGCCAGGAAGCAGCCTTTACCTCTGACTGGCTGGTGGAGGCTAGGGAAGACAACACCACCTGGGCGGAGACCACTCACGATGGCTGGAGACGAAAAAGGTGACTCGACTCCTCCAAGGGCACAGTTCCCGCTAGGAACTTGAACCCACCTAGTCCCAGATCCGGCAGACGGTAAAAGCCAGCCACTGTGCGCAACTCGAGACAGGGGACACAGAGGAGCACAGCCTGCGTTTAGCAATGGGTGGGTCCAGGGGAAAGCCAACTGGCTAGGAGGGGCTGCCCCAAGCAGACAAGGGAGTGAAATGTGGGGGCTGCAGTTGGGAGAGGAAGCTAGGGGAAAGGAGACAGGAAAGACTGGGAGAGTGAAGAGGTAGGGAAGGGCGCGGGTTCCTGAGATGGGAGTGGGGGCACAACGGAAAGGGGCTGGGGACCCAGGGGGAGCCCCAGACCTGGGGCAAAGGGGCGGCCTCTGGCTACAGACCTACCTGTCACCTGCAACAGGTGCCGCAAGAGGGCGAGAAGTCCCAGTATAGGTTTCAGTACACGGTGTAGGGCTCAGGAACACTGCAACTTCGCTCAGGCCGCTGGCCCTTCTCACCCTTCCGAGAGGCGGAAAAAGTTACAACTTTCCCAGGAGTAGGGAGGAGCTGGACTCTTAAAGGGGCCGCACATAGCTCTAGGCTCTTTGGTAGGAAACCACACCACCCCAAGGGAAGCTGTGGGAGGTGAAGCCTAAAGCGCTGCAGAGGTGCCTTTCCGGGTTAGGGAAGGGAGCTTCAGGACTAAGGTTAGTGGTCTAAGACTAGACCTGACCCTGCTTGCACCCTCATCTGAGGTCACTCTCTCAGATGATAAATTGAGTGGTCTGTGCCACTCAACTGGGCCAAAAGCTGTCAAACCGTCGTATACTTTTAGGAAGATGAAGACTCTAGACCATATAATTTAGGAAGATAAAATATGATACCATATTGATGCTTTGACTTTCCATCTTTCATGGGAAAAAAAGTCTGTCTAAAATACAAACATTTGGGGCAAAGGACATAAGATAAAATTCACACACAACTAGGTAAAACGTTCAACCCATTATTCATCAAAGAAGCGCAATTTGGAATAATAACATTCTTTCATAAAGGGTTTTTGTTTGTTTATTTTTATAACACTTAATGGCAAAGTGGCCACTAGACAAGCTGGTAGGAGTGTATGTTGAGTAAAAGCCCTTCTAGAAATCATGTGAGCAATATATAGCAAGAGACATTAAAATGTACATATCTACCCAGTAATTGTAGATTCCTCTCCCCTTCCTCCCTTCCTCTTTCCCTCCCTTCTTCTCATCAGCATTAACCAAGTTTAAGTCCTTCTGAAATGTCATCAGCAATTAAACATGCTCAAATGTCTACTATCTTTTAAAAAACTCTTCTCTACACACTAGGCACTTCCCCAGCTCTTCTTTGTAAGAAAATTTATTGAAAATGTGCTTTGCAGGTACATTTGCAATTTCCATTTCTTTTCTTCTTGCTCAGTAATTTGGCTCCCTTCCCTAACACCATATTGAAACTGTGTTCAGCAAGATACCCAACCAATGACCGCCATGCCAATACATACATACATACATACATACATACATACAGCATTCTCCAGTCCTTACCTTGCTTGACTTCTCCCCTATATTTAACTCTGTTAATCATTTTCTTCTCCTTGAAAGTCTTCCTTTGGCATCTGTGACACCACACTCTGCTTTTCTTCCTACCTCTTTGCCCTCTCCTCAGTCTCCTTTGTAGATTCCACTCTGCTATCTAACCTCAGAAAGCCAGACATTCTGAGGGTTAGGCTACATATACGCTCTCTGAAATGACCTCTTTCACTCTTTTGGCTTTACTTAACATCTATATGGCCACAACTATAACATTATATCTCTATTTAGACCTTGTTAGGTCTATTTGAGCTCTGCTTTCTTGACATCTCCACTTGGATGTCTTGCAGGCACTTCAAATTCAACAAATCCAAAGATGAGCCTACCACCTTTTCTCTTAAATTTGCTCCTCCTCCAGTGTTTCCTATTTCAGGATAAAAAACTAAGTCAGAAACTGGGTACTTAGCATAGCACCTGACACAGAGTAGGCCCTAATAGTTGTATAATGAATGAATGAATGAATGAATGAATGAATATGTATTTCATGGACTTTTGTACAAGGATATTAATTGCAGCACTACTTAGAATAATAAAATACTAGGGGAAAACCTAATGGTTCAATGGTTAAGTAAATTAGTGTAGTCTCATACAATGGAATATAATAGAGCCATGAGGGACACATTCCAATATTGCCAGGATATTCCTGAAACCACAAATAATACTGAACCTTATATATAAGTATGTTTCTTTTCCCTACACATACATACATATGCACATTCCTTTTCACTTAAAGGAAACACTTTGCAGCTTCTCTTTGGTATATTCCAATTGCCAGCATCACTACTCTTGCACTTTAGGGCCATTACTAAGTACAATAAGGGTTCTTTGAACAAACACTGTGTTACCATGGCAGTTGATCTTATAGCGGAGACAGCCAGATATTAATAATGGGCAGGCAGTGTATACAGTGTGGATACATTAGACAAAGGGATGATTCACTTCCTGGGTGGGATGGAACAGGACAGCATGAGATTCCATCACAATAATCAGAATGGCACACAATCTAAAACTGATGAATTGTTTGTTTCTGGAATTTTCCATTTAATATTTTCAGACCTCAGTTGACTACAGATAACAAACCATGGAAAGAAAAGGTGCAGATGGTGGAATACTACTGTATTTCCATATAATTCATAATGACAAGAAAATGCTTACATCTAATACTACTGGAAAGTAGAATATAACATTCAATATAAAATATGTTCACAACAATTAATGGAAATGATGGATAGGAATTTTTCATTTTTCTCCTACTTTTCTGTATTTTTCAACTTTCTTACAATGAACATGTATAGATTTGATGATATAAAACATCTTTTTTAAAAAATCTGTAATATAGAAAGAAAAAAAAAACCACTTTCATTCTAGAAGACAAAAACAGTAAAAATCACCTCCCAGGGTCTACCAAGTATTTTCTTCCATACTTGAATCCTTCAATATCCTGCCCACAGCCTGAAGTGCAAAGAAGCCACTTCGAAAAGGAAATCCTTTTGTTCTGTCTAGCTTTGCCAACTCCATCCTTGGGGCCTCTTGGCTCAGCCCTGGGCTTTGGATGTTTTCACCTTCTTATGAGGGCCTGTGGGAACTCAGATCAAGCACTTTTCTGCTTCTTCTTTGTAGGTGATCCTTGACAGGAGCTGGAAACACTCTCAGCCAGAAGGGACTTCAGAAAAGATTTAGCTCAATCTTCTCATCCCATAGCAAAATTTCCAGATATTATTTCAAGGTTTTACTTCTTTATACATGTGCATTTTCACATTCTCTGAGGTCCACACCATTAAAGAGAATGGGTGAGGATCTGCCTCCTTTACTCCCAGACAGTGTCACTAAATCAACTGCAAACACACACAAACATAAAGAATGAACAAAAACAAAGTTAATAAATGGCCTTTGTACACAGACTCTATGTTTAGCAAGCTGCTATCCATTTCTGTTTGATTTTCTCTGTTTGTCACAAGGGTTCTGTTCTCAAAATTCTTATGCCAATATTGTGAGGGCTCCAATGCAAGCAAACCCAGGTACCAGCCTGTGCAATAACGTAAACAGGAATTTATGGATTATTATCCTGTATGTACTATGTAAGCTCGTGTTCCCATAGTGATGAGTGTTTTGATTTTACCATGGTGAGGGAGTTCTAGCTAGTACAAACTGATAAGATGCAGTTTTTCTTCAACCCAGGTGACAGGATACCTCAGCATTGAGCAATTGAACATTCTGAAAAACATTAAATATTTCAAAAATACATAAATGTATGATGACTAATATAACAAGAAGCATATGCTCACTAGCCAGCTTCAGAAATAAAGCATTACCATTGCAATCAGAGCCTTCTGTATACACCTCCATCCTGAGTATTGCACTCTCCCAGATTTGATCTTCATTGTTTCTATGTGTGTTTTTATGCATTTACGGCCTACATGTCTATCCCTAATATGTAGTTCTTCACATAAATAATATAACTCTCCCTGTACTTTCTTCAGTGTGCTTTCTTCACTCAACATTATGCATATGAGATTTATCCCTGTTGTTAGATGTAGCTCTAATTCATTTTCATACTTATAGAGCACTCCAGGAATAAAAACATTGTAATTTATATGTGTTCTCTTATTGATCAGGTACTTTTCTTTTTTTAATATATTTTATTGATTATGCTATTTACAGTTGTCTCAATTTCCCCCTTTGCCCTCCTCCTCCCAGCACCCTCCATTCCCTCTAACAACCTCCCTCTTAGTTCATGTCCTTGGGCCATGCATATAGGTTCTTTGGCTTCTCCATTTCCTATACTATTCTTATCATCCCCTTGTCTATTCTATACCTACCAATTTGTACTTCTTAATCCCTGCACCTTTTCCCCATTTCCCCCTCTTCCCCTCTCAACTAATTACCCTCCAAATGATCTCCATATCTGTAATTCTGTTTCTGTTCTCCTTCTTTGAATGGTGTATTTTTTAGATTCAATTGTTGATAGTTGTGAATTTATTGCCATTTTAATTTTCATCATTTTTATCTTCTTTTCCTTAAATAAGTACCTTTAACATTTCATATAATAAGGGCTTAGTGATGATGAACTCCTTTAACTTGACCTTATCTGGGAAGTACTTTATCTGTCCTACAATTCTAAATGATAGCTTTGCTGGATAGAGTAATCTAGGTTGTAGATCCTTGCTTGTCATTACTTTAAATACTTTTTGTCAGTCTCTTCTAGCCTGCAAAGTTTCTTTTAAGAAATCAGCTGACAGTCTCATAGGAACTCCTTTATATTTAACTCTCTGCTTTTCTCTTGCTGCTTTTAAGATTCTCTCTTTATCTTTAAACTTCAGCATTTTAATTATGATGAATCTTGGTGTGGTACTCTTTGTGTTCGTCTGGTTTTGGATTCTCTGTGCTTCCTGGACTATATGTCTGTTTCCTTCACCAAATTAGGGAGATATTCTGTCATTATTTTTACAAATAAGTTTTCAATTTCTTGCTCTTTCTCATCTCCTTCTGGCACTCCTTCAAATGTTGGTACATTTGAAGTTGTCCCAGAGGCTCCTTAGCATATTCTTGGGTTTTTTTGGAGGGGATTCTTTTTTCTTCTTGCTGTTCTGATTGAATGTTTTTTGGTTCCTTATGTTCCAAATCACTGATTTGATTCTTGGCTTTATGTACTGCATTGTTGGTTCACTGTAAATTCTTCTTTGTTTCACTTAGTGTAAACTACATTTCTGCCTGGGTTTTTTTATGCTGTTGAAGTATACAGTGTGTTCTTTGAGCATCCTGATAACCAGTGTTTTGAACTTTGCATCTGATAGGTTGTTTATCTCCATTTTGTTTAGTTATTTTTCTGGAGTTTTGTTCTGTTCTTTCTTTTAGACCATATTTCTTTGCCTCCTCATTTTGGCACCCTCCCTATGTTTGTTTCTATATATTAGG